GGGGGGGGGGGGGGGTGGCACACCACAACAAGTGGTAGACGACGAACGCCACACCCACGCGACAACAGTCGCATCCCATGCCACTCGAAACAGACGAGCAAACTTTTTCGCCCACATGAACAACTGAGTCAACGATCCGATAAGAGCGTGTCCCACAACCCAGCCAGTGGCAACCCTGTGGCACGCGCGACGCACATGCGCCCACACCGCACAAACGCCAAAGAAGCCTACCTCGCGGTATTGATCGGCATTGTCGAGCCGCAAGGGATTGTAGTTGTCCTCAGCCAGGATGGCTTTGAAGGCCTCGGTCGAGATGGTGACCAACACAGCCTGATACCGAGACCGCACCTAGAAGGAAGTTGGCAGGCACACGACACTCGATGGGTTGACGTTGACAACAGCGCACAAAGCACCTGTCTGCCCGAATTCTCTTCAATCAATCATCGCGCCACCCACTTGAAGGAGCACATCGGTCAGCCGCGAGACGGAGTACTCATGCGCTAGCATTGTACGATTGAAGGTCACAATCATGTCCTTGACCTGGCAGGTTAAAGAGCAAACCGCGGGGTTTGAGGTGTACAGGAGAAAAAAAACAGTATGTCGCCACTTCAAAAGTCCGAGGTCCATGGCCGCTGATAGCCCTGCCGACCCACCTGGCGAATCATGGAAGCTGTCGTACACTGAGCCAGTTGGGCTTGTGTCACCTGGCTCAGCTGTGTGAGTGCCGTTTGCCACAGCGAGTCCAACCACTGCCGCGAGATCAGTCCTGTACGAGGCACCAGAAGCAAGTGGTCAGAGGCGCAGAGGGGCGGGCGAGCACGTTGTGCGGACCACATCAAAAAAAAATGGCTTGACATGAAGAGCCATTGCTTTGCGGTATACTGCGAGACCTCACCATCCGTTGTCGCCAAGACCGTGTGCTCCGCAATGAAGCAACCGGCCACTGCATGAAAGTACGCCCGAAACGTGGTTTCCGATGTCTGTACCAAAAGGACGGAAAGACAGGCAGGCAGGCAGGTCGATAGCCATTTGAGTTGAATGAGCCGGGCGCTTGTAGCTTGAAAGAGGGCATCCAAAGGCGCCTTGAATGGTCGCTTCAGAAGGCAGACTCTGACAACCGACCAGGGAAGTGGTAGGATTCAGCACCAAATCCAACTGCTTGCGCCGCTCTTCACGATAGTACTCGGCACATTCCTCCATGACGTCCTGTGCGCCAAGGCAGGTCGATACAGTTGTGGGCATGGCCGTGCTCTTGGTAATTGAGGCAATGGGATGAACATACCAGGACTTTGCAGATGTGGGCGCAACGATACAAGGGGCTAAAGTCGAGCTCGGTGCCCTCGATTGATTGCTGGGTCGCGCGGCGTGGCGTACCAGAGTTGGAGCCACTTTGCGAGGCCTGCCAAAAGCATGGCGATGCATGCAAGGGTCGAAACGTAACATTGAGCGAGCACAAGAAACCAGCATAGCTGAGGGGCTGCACCCACCCACCGTCATGGCCTGGGCTCCCAGAGGCTCGCACGATTGGCGCAGGGAGGCCAAAAAGTCGCGCAGACTGGTCATGGAATCTCGCTTGACTTGCAACCGGAGGGCCGGAATTTCTGTTCGAATCGTCTCAACAAACTTGTACCTGTACAGGACAAACAAGTCAATTATGCGTGTGAGGCCACCCGACTTGATGAGCGTCATTTTTTTTTTGTTTTTTTTTTTTTTTCTTGTTTTTTAAAAAAGGATGGACGAAGCCGAGGTTTGGGCGCCGGACTTACGATGTCAGACGCGGCAGTTGCTCGGCCTCCAGCTCTTGAAGGGTTTTGAGTGCAGCGTAGGCACGACCCTCGCGCAGCTGTTGCTGAGCTTGGTTGTATAGCACAATGGCTGTACAACACCCCGTCGTTGTCTGCCATGAGAACCCTTCGAACCATGCCTATACGCTCGGTATCACGCACACCGTGCTCACTGCCGAGAGGCTGCGCAGCATTTCCGGCGGGTAGACCACACACCTGGGCGACAGACATGCAGTGCTTCAAGGCCTGCCAAGACATTGCGGTGTTGTCGGCGCATGGCCAGCAACCGTTCGTTGTGTTGCCGCAGATGTTCACCTGTGGTATTTCGCACGTCAAGCACCGCACACCAAGGTCTTGAGCTTCAGAGCCTAGCCAGCCTCGCTGTATTGGTTGGGTGCAAGAGGTCAGCCAATTTACAAGGGATCGATCCACTGACCAGCGTCTTGCAAGCCCTCGGAGCATTCTCGTGCAGCCAGCTGCGAACAGAGAAAATGAATTCAATCGGAGTGCCGCATCCGATGAAAACAATTCAAGGGGCTGGGAGACCCCTACACGGGCCCTCAGCAGGAGCTGCGCGAGCACCATGGCCACGCCAAAGCCAAGGTCCACATGCGCTAGCCCATGTTCACGGGCACGAACCTTGAGGTCGTCGGCGTGTTCCCCAACACTGAGAAGCTCCTGGACCGACTCGACAAATCCCTAATAAATTTTGAAAGCCGGAGGGAATTGTGATGGCCCACTCGAGCATGAGTGCGGATAGAAACCTGAAGGTGGCACGGCAGAAAGGGGTTTGCCCCTCACCTGGTAGTTGCGGTTACAAATGCGTTTCAAGTCTTCATCGATGCGCGAGGCCCGGGCATTCAGTTGATCGAGAAGAGCCTTGGCATCAATGCCATTCTCGTAGGCCGCACTGTATCAGATGAGTCGGAGGAGTCAGCGGCGCATAAGGAACGTAAAGAATCAACAGGAAAAGACTGATAGCCGCTCAACCCTGACCGAGAGATCGGCTGAAACCTACCCAATGGCCGACCCCAAGTTGATGTCGCTGGACATGACCTGGTCAATGATCCGCGCATGATTGGATTGCGTCGCTGCATCGTGCCCCAAACAAGCATCAAATGTCGTGCATGAGGAGCTTTCACGCGGGACACAAGCCTCCAAAAGGCGGATACGTACACTTGCTGTCTACACGCTCCGCAGCCATGATGTCAGGGAAGGGGCCGTCTGGGGGGACGTGTCAGGTCGATGAAAAGACTACCAGGTCGTTGACGATCAACTTCCGATGTCTACGCAGCGTCAGGCGATGCTCATCAAATCCCCATGCGCCCTGATGACCACTTGCAGATTGAAGCATCGACTCACATTCTTCTTCGCTTGCCTGCACTCTGCCGAAGCTAGCCAGCCGCCATGGCCCACACAACTCGCTGAGCCCAGCTCAATCAACCAGTCGAGCTCAGCACAGCGCCCACTTTGACCAGCAACAGGCACATTCACAAGCAGCTGATACAGCCACTACCACCACCCGATTCACCCCTCAACAAGCTCTGTCTGCCACTAGCACACCGACGACGACGACGATGGCAACGGCAAAAGCAGCAAATGCAACTGACGCCTCAAGAAAAGTTACAATAAAAGTTAGGGGGTGTGTGTTAAAAATGGAAAAGCTCAACGACACACACACAAACAATAAAAGTTAGGGGGGGTGTTAAAAATGGAAAAGCTCAAAGACACACACACACACGAACACACACACAGTTGAGGGTGGGTGTGATGATTGAAATTAGAGGGTTTTTTATGTTCGTGTCAGCAAAAAACGCACGGGTGTTGCAACTGGTGTTGTTCACGGATATCTCAAAACTATATGTTGACAACAGTAGTTTTTGCCATTATCGCCCGGCCAAATCGTCGAACAGCGTTCGAATCGGCAGCCGGAGGGAACTGGTGGCCAAGGCAGCTTCACGGCAAGCAGCACCTGCCGCTCGGGGCTGGTCGTGAGGGACACGGCGCCAGCTTGGAATTGGCCCGGGTCAACTACGGTGTGAGGGCTCTTGCACAGAAGCTTATCGAGGGTGGTTCTTACGCGTTCATTGCCAGCAGCAACCAGCGCCATGTCGGACGAGAAGGACAAGGATGGCCTGATCAACCCGCGTGTCAACCGAGAAAACTACAAGCGTCGCCAGGAGCTCGAAGAGGCCCGTAAGCTCGGTGCCATTCCCGCCCTCGTTGACGAAGAAGGCCGGTAGGTTCCATGCTCGAGCGTGACGAGGGCGAGTCGTGTCCTTTCTCAAGTGGTCTGGACTTGAGTCTTGCTCGCCTCGCCAAGCCGATCAATCTTGCCTCACTTGGTCTCGCAATGGTCACCGCTTCCGTTCGACAGCGACATCAACCCCCATATTCCGCAGTACATCACCAATGTACCCTTTTTCTATGGCAACACTGGGTATGCCTCGTTGTAGCACGCACGCACGCACATGCACATCCCCCTTTTTGGATGCACTTGAACCGCAAGAGCAATGGGTCCACCTTGATGGCCCGTGCTGATAAGACCTCACACATCACTATGGCTTGCGTGTTCTGGCGCAGCCCCACGCTGAAGCACCAGCGTCAGCAAGATGATCGGGTGCCTCAACACGACGATATCCATCGTCAAGTCAAACGTGGTGTTAAAAAGGTGGGCGTGCACCAATGTCATCTGCTCGAAATGGCAGGAATGGCAAGGCAGAGGACAGGGGTCGACACAATGGCAATGTTGTCCGTCCTTGCTGCGGCTCACGGCTTCCATAAATTACAACGTAGGGCTCGGGCTCAACGCGTTACAAAAAGGGAGCCTGCGAGAACTGCGGGTCCACCACGCACAAGAAGCAAGACTGCGTTGAGCGTCCACGCCGCGTCGGCGCTCGGTTCAACAACAAGAACATTGCCGCAGACGAATACATTCCCGTACGTTCTGAGGCCTGCCACAACCATCGATGCTGTCCGTGCTGTTGTTGACGATCTTGGGGCACTCTCACTCTGAGCGTCGGCTTGTCCATCGCTTTTCTTCGACTCTTTGACCTTGGCAACTTGGTCTTTTAGACCGAACTGAACCACTCATTCGAGGGCAAGCGTGATCGCTGGCAAGACTATGACCCGGCTGAGCATCTGGAGGTAGTGCGGGAATTTGAAAAGATTGAGGCTGAGAAGCGCAAGCTCAAGCTGCAAGAACTTAAGCAGCGTGCAGCCGAGGCCCGCGAACGTGCTGCCGCCGGAGAGGAAGACGTGTCGGCCGAGAAGCGTGTAGACCCCAAGGCTGAAGAGGCCTCAGATGATAGTGACGATGATGACGATGACGACAAGGATAAGGCGGATGATCTTCGTTATGCCGAAAGCGCTAACATGGCCGGCGCCAAGATTGACACCAAGAACCGTATCTCCGTGCGCAACCTGCGTATCCGCGAAGATACAGCCAAATACCTGCTGAATCTCGACGTCAACTCGGCGCACTACGATCCCAAGACACGTGCCATGCGTGCTGACCCGCTGCGTGGAACCAACAAAAAGGCCACGTGAGTTTTTTTTTTTTTTTGTTCTGTTTGGTTCTTTTTGTTTTCTCAAGCTCGACCCGCTATTCCGATGTCCCGGTTTGGGTCTCATCTGTCCCGGTTTGCTATTTTTAGCAAAGCCTTTGCCGGCGAAAACTTTGTTCGGCATACGGGCGAGGTGCCTCACATTGCCGACCGCCAACTCTTTGCTTGGGATGCTGCTGATAAGGGTGTGTACCGCGCGCTTGTACTTATTCCTGCTGGCCCACGATGCTCGCACGGCAAGCATTGTGCCTTGATCCTGCTGTTGCTGGTTGTTGTCGTTTCTCCTCTCCGCCTTTCCTCTTGCCCCCTCCTGGTCTCTCGCTTTGAGAATGCGCACCGTTTGTCTATTGCCTATATCGATCAAGGCGCCTCTCACTCAAGACCGCCACTATTGGGCGTCATGGCAGGTGTGGACGTTCACTTGCAAGCTGATCCCACCAAGGCGGAAATGCTGCACAAGGCTTTTGAGCAGAAGAAACAGCAATTTGGGGAACAGCAGCGCCAATCCATTCTGGAAAAGGTTTGTACCAATGAGGGCTACGGTTTCAGGCCACTTATCCTTCAAACGCTGAGCCAGACTCACGCTGGTTGCGACTGATGCTGACTGCTTCGTAGTACGGCGGTGCCGAGCATTTGAAGGCACCCCCCAAGGAGCTGCTGATGGCGCAAACGGAGCACTACGTCGAGTACTCGCAGTCGGGCCGCGTCATCAAGGGCAACGAAAAAGCCAAGGTCTGATTTTAGCTTCGATCCTCGCCACCAACGCCTTTCCACCCGCGCGCCTTGTCCACACACCATCTATGCCTGATTTGCGTGCTTCGTGGACGCTAGGTGCAATCCAAATACGAGGAGGATGTTTACCCCGGCAACCATACTAGCGTGTGGGGTTCCTACTGGTCGCGCGGTACGGCTGGCCAACGTCCTTGGCATGGAGAGGACTTGGGAACGATGTTCCATGACCAAAAGCTCACACATGTTTTGCGTTGGTGTTGATGCTCTGATTTTAGGGCGTTGGGGCTATGCGTGCTGCCATGCAACGGAAAAGCAAAGCTATTGTACGGGTGCCGAGGGCCGTGCGGCGCGTGCTGCCGATCCTACCCAGTTGTTAAAATTGCGTGGCCAGGCCGCGGAGCAGGCGCAAGGCGAGGGTGAAGAGGCGGCAGATGGCAAGCCCGTCGAGACCCTTCTCGAACAGCATCGTAAATCCAACAAGGGCAAACGCAGCAAAGGTTTGTAACTCGCGTGTGCGGCTCGGCCACGTGTTTGACCGTGCGTTTGTAGCCGCATCTCTCATCCTGGCACGCTGGGTCAGACGAGGCGGCAGCAGAAGATGATGATGATGAGGCGCGCGAGAAGCGCATCAAGGAGGTGAGCCATGCCGACCTTAGCATGGCCCTGCTCCTGGTTCTTCATTCTCACATGCCGTGTTGCTATGCGCACACAGTACATGGAGAAGCATCGCAAGCAAGAGCGCGAGGCAGACCGACTCATGTCGATGGATGAGCGTTCGCGACCATTCAACTCGATGAAGGAGTCGGAGCACAAAATGTCTGAGGAGGAGATGGAAGCCTATCATCGCACCCGCGTGCACGCTGATGATCCCATGGCTGCCTTTATGAAGTGATTGCATTTGGGCAGACGAGAGAGCGAGAGCGAGAGAGAGAGAGAGAAACGTCTGAACGAGAGTTGGCTTTGTTTTCTTTTTTTCCAAGGTGCGGGAATACTGTGTGAAGTTCGAGTTTTGCTGCGTCTTCAATTGACTCTAGTCAGGGCTTGCTCAAGAATCTGAATGGCTGGGCCCTTGTATCGGTAATCAACTCCAAATCTGATCTCACTTTGATGAGGAGAAGGTGTTGATCCGAGCTTTGATCAGCTGTGTATGCCAGCCCAGAGCAGCGAGGATCTTCCCTGGACACGCGACGACGACGACGATTCGGGTGTTTGTTGTTTGGGGAAACCATGAAGTTTTGATCTCACCAACAACGCCCCATCAAACTTCATCTAACACCACGAATGGCGAGCCGATTTGGTAGTAGATCGAAGTATTGAATGAAGGAGTCCGAGTGAAGGGGCTGCTGGCATGAACAAATACGCCAAAAATCATAAAAAAAAACCTGGAAATCTCTCTCTCTCTCTCTCTCTCTCTCTCTCTCTCTCTCTCTCTTCCACACACACACCGTTGCGCAATTTTCAGTGTGCTTGAGCAAGAGAGACTCTCGCACACACACACTCGCACACACACTCTCTCTGTCTCTCTCTCTGTCTCTTCAATCTCTCTCTCACTCACGGGGCGGGATGGCGATGGCTCGGATCGTGGCTGCTGTCAGTGCTGCCGGGGTCGCTGCTTATACGATTCGTGTAAGTCTTGCCACGGGGCTTGCGGGTGGATGGTGGGAAGTCGGCTTGAGTGGGCGTTGAGCGGCGACATGCGAGCCTCAGCCCATCATTGTTCTTTCCCCCGCACATGATCCCCTTTGCCATGTCACACGCAGCGCTACACGGCGCACTGCAGTGGAGCAACCGGGGAGATGGCTTCGACTTTTGGTACGACTTGTGCCCACAGCTCTTGAAGGATCCTCCATCGCGGTGTCTTCATGTGACGCGCATGAGATGCTGTTTCAATGCTGGACAGTCTTCGAGTCTTGTTTCGAGCCTGCCCGCTCCTTCACTGAGCTGGCACGTGCGATTAGACATGGGTCGTTATCGGGAGGCGCTGCATACACGTCATCTTGGCTGGCCAGCCGAGCATCGGTTTGTTTCCGACCCTTTTCGCTGGGTAAAACCCGTTGCATGCACAGTCTTACCCCTGGGGCCACCATGTATGTATTCACTCATACAGGGTTCAAGTTGATACAACCATGACATGGGCTGGAGGCATTTTGCGCAGCAAGGGCCCTGATGCTCACGGCAGCGTGTTCATTGCTGATGAACAAACGGCTGGCATTGGGCGTCGAGGACGCGCCTGGAGCAGCGAGCGTCAGTGATCTGCACACCGCGTTCCCCGCGCCCCTTCGCGAGGGCGGCCAGCTTATATTTTCACAATTGCGAGCCTCCGTGCCCAAAAACTAAGCAGTCATTCTGGACTCCATGTTGCAGGGTCGGACAATCTCTACTTTTCCTTTGTATATGCGCCAACGGTGCCAGACAAGGCCACACTTTTTACAGGCATGCAGTCATGCGGCTCCTGCGCTTGTTTTGCCTTGCAAAATGAACTGAACTGACGCTGAACCTGCGTCCACAACAGAAATGCAAAAGCTGAACTTTGCCATTTCCATCGCCACGGCCAAGACTTGCCACGACTTTGGCGCCACCTCTGCTAAGTGAGTCAATGCTGCGGCCCTCGTCTTGAAGCTTGGATTAGCCTGCGCACGAGTCGCTTTTCCTTCCTCAGCTTCATCAAGCATGTACTCGGCGATTCGTCGCAACCTCTATGTGGTGGTGGTATAGAATCAAGTGGCCAAACGATGTGTGGATTGACGGACGCAAGGTAGGATGATGTACAGGCCCAGGCGTCGAGGTTGCCTTTTTTTTTTTTTTTTTTTTTGCCCATACACAGCGAAACCCCTAGCCTGGTTGTATCACTGAACGGGTAATGACGCAAATAGGTCTCTGGCATGCTTGTCAATTTCAATGGCATCAACGGTGGAGTAGCTGGCGTAGGAATCAATGTCAACCAAGTGTTTGACTTGAAGGGCTCCTTGCCTGCCATCAGCATTGCTCAGGTGCGTGAGGATGTGACTGTCGGATGCGGCAGCTTTGTGAAGAATAGAGCATCTGAAGTATGGGAATGCGGTTATTTGAACTATTACCTCTGCTGATTGCGCTAGGCAAGCGGGGCGCCAGTGTCTCGTGAGTGCGTGCTGGCCACCTTCTTCAACCACCTTGAGGACACCGTGGCGCTCGGCATGAGCGATGTGCTCAAAACTTATGCCGAGTACGATTTGTTAACGGGCCAGGTGGTGCGCGTGTTTCATCAAGCCCGCGATGTAAGTGTTCTACTAGGGCCAGCCGCGTGCCGTGTGCTGCTCAAGCATCGCCTTCTCAATAAGAGTGCATCTAGGTGGATGATCCCCGTGACTACGACGCCAAGGTGCTCGGGCTCGCCAAGGATGGAGGCCTGATGGTTCAGCGCTTGGATACCCACCAGCAGCTTTCGCTCTCCGGTGCGCCCCCTCGCCTTTCTGTCATCCGTTCACGACTGCCGAGGGTGCAGTATTTGACATTGCACAAGCTCATTTTTTTTCACTTCGCATAGGCGAGGAGATCAGCTTGCGACCCCGTGCATGATGACTGGCGTTGACGCACTCTTTGGTGTCATGTTAGCGCTAGGTAGATGACGTGTACCTAAAATCAATTCAAAGCTGGCCGTTGTCAGATCAACAAGACATCCCCTAAGTGGGCGCTGGAAAAGGAACAGTCAAAGCCTTGACACAAACAGGCACCCCAAACCGCTGATCTGCAGGAGTACTGCTGCCTCGTTTCACGTACGCAGTACAGCACTCGCGCGAGAACGGCCAAAACGGCCAAACTAGAAGGCGGGCAGGATTGCCACGGGGAGCAAAAGGCGTAAAAAAAAAACCAAGAACAAAAACCAATCAAACACAGAATAAACAAACCCGTGTGTATAAGTAGCAAACACACCAACCCGTACCCAGATGGCGAGAAAATCAAGAGCGCCATATTAAAAAGCGTCCCAGACATGCAGAGGAAAAACAAAAAAACAAAAGATGGACGACACTGAAGAGAGAACAACGAGGGAGAGACGGTGGAAATGCATGCGCAGGAGCAGGCAGTGTTGGGAAGAGAGCAGGGTAGAAGAGCAAGTCGGAAAAGAGAGCGGGGACCACCGCGCGGCGGTGGGTGGGAGCCGCGGAAGGGCGGCTATGCGCTTGTGGCCTGGGCGGTTGATGCTTGACGTGGCACGGGCGCCGCTGCTTCGTGGTGAGTCGGCGGTTCCTCGACGTCGTGTTGGATAAAATGCTTGAAGGCTTCGTACACAGACCAGGAGATGGCACCGGCCGGGGCGGTGAACATCATACGCGCGGCCCAGCCACGCGTAAAGCCGATCCAGCCGTCGCGGCGATACAGATTGCGGGCAGCAATGACGGCACCAGTCAGGAAATTACTAGAGACGGCATCACCGGCCACCTTGGCACCGCGGCATTGCTCCTAGAAATGGGGCGGCAAATGGCAAGGACATGGTCAGGAGCCCGCCAGAAAAAGATGGGATGCTGAGACGGATGTGGTTGTGGAGTAAGCGTGCGCGCGAGCAAGAACATGCGCACATTAGTGTTGAGGTACGTCTTGCACACATCAAGGGGTGTGGTGACGGCAGCCGCTAAACCACCGGCAAAGGCACCGGCCACAAACTGCGAGCACCGAGCAAGGAGGAGTTTTGTGGTTTGATGGTTAGGCAAGGGGGGGGGGGGGGGGGGGGGGGGAA